CATAGCACTTGGCCCTCTTAATCCATGGCAAATAGATGGGGAAGAAATGAAGGTAGTGACAGATTTTATTTTCCTGGGCTCCAAGATCACCGCAGATGGGGACTACAACCAAGAAATTAAAAGACGCTTGCTCCTGGTAAGAAAAGCTATGGCAAATCTACACAGCATACTAAAAAGCAGAGACATCACCCTGCCAACAACAATGTGTATAGTCAAGGCTATTGTTTTCCCAGGTGCAATGTATGGCTGTGAAAGTTGGACCATAAGGAAGGCTGAGCGCCAAAGAATTGAGGCCTTTGAACTATGGTGCTGGAGAAGATTCCTGCGAGTCCCTTGGGCTGCAAGGCGATCAAACCGGTCAGTCCTAGAGGAGATCAACTGTGACTGCTCTTTAGAAGGTCAGATCCTGAAGATGAAACTCAAATACTTTGGCCACCTAATGAGAAGGAAGGACTCACTGGAGAAGAAGAATAGAATGACAAAGAATGAGGTGGCTGGATGGAGTCACTGAAGCAGTAGATATGAGCTTAAATGGACTCTGGGGGGTGCTAGAGGACAGAAAGGCCTGGGGGAACATTCTCCATAGGATCGTGATAGGTTGAACATGACTTCCCAACTAACAACAATAAATGTTTAGTTGCATTTCCTTGAAATGTACAGATTGTTTTATTCTATTAGGTCTGAGGCTATAAGCATGCACTATTGCCCAGAGGGATAGATTAGGCAGTGATCAAAGTGGCATGCAATCAAATAGCCTTTGCAGAAGATGAAGAGAATCTTGCAAGTCTGAAAGTACCCATCCCACTACTAATTTTATTCTTCCCAAAAGTTTGAAGGGTCGATTCTGAGACACTTTCTCCATCTCTCCTCCTTTGGACACAAATCTTGTTTATGAGACCATTGTATTTAGGCTGCAGCTCTTCCTCCTCTCCCTCAAGGTCATCCCAACATACCATTACAGTGGAATCCAAATCTATTGTGGATTTCTTTTGCATGCATTTCTACAATTTGATGATTAATTGGGGAAGTCTTTGGAATAGAAGTCTCAAAGGTGCTTTTGTGTTGTTATTAGAGACCAGTTGCCTTATGAAAAAGCACCTATTTACATTCATATGCATAAATACGAGTTCCGCCATAATAGATTATTCCTTAAGGATGGAGAAACCTGTCATTTTGTCATTTCTCCAGGATTATAATCTGAGTTAGAGTTGAAGCTCTTCCTGGATTTCCCAGAATTTTGTTTTTAAGTGGCTATGGGACCAAGTAACAGCCCAGGTTATAAACATACATTTAATAAATATCGCCAGAGGGATTTAATTTTCAATGAACTATCACAAGCAATGTGTCCTTGAATTGCCACACATTTTTTTCTTAGCAAATGTTAGGATAAATTTGACAGTTGAAATTTGGAAAGTGAAATATCCACTTACTAGGTAAAGGTTCCCCTCGCACATACGTGCTAGTTGTTTCCGACTCTAGGGGCTGGTGCTCATCTCCGTTTCAAAGTCGAAGAACCAGTGCTGTCTGAAG